AGAGGACAATTGCTGAGAAGTTAATGGGACTGAACTCTGAAGAAATAGCTCAAGGAGAATTCTACGACGATCCACTTCCTGATTTTCACATTGTCAAGGATCTGATCAAGACGCGCCCAGGTGAAAACAAGATTGAAGACAAGTTTGAAACACCTTGGGAGAACGTCAAGATTGTTGTACCATATCAAGAAGATCTGAGACCACGAATTTGGAGAAATGAGAAATGAATCAAGAAGATTGACGAGCTTGAGCTACGAGGACTTGAACATTTGAAAGGAACTGATGCTTCTGGACCCATTTGGATGCTATGAAACATGTCAGCTGATCATAATGATCCTTATGGAAACAGGAAGAGATTAGTCAAGCATTCTGATTCAATGATCATAGCTATTCGAGCCATAGAGATACATCATATTGGAAGAAGTACATACTATCCAATCTATGAGTTTGAACGACAGAATGGCATGATTCAAAGAGCATCTGAAGCTGATCTGTACTACTTGACTTCTACTGATCTGATCCAATTATTCTACGAGTATAGATTCGTCAATTTTTCATATCTATCTCGGAAGGACAATGATCTAGGCCTTAATGCACCCAAGAGATTCATGATGAGACAAGTCAAATACTATTCACTCTTCAATCTGCAAATGGCCATAGAAAATAATTTTCCGAAAGTGAACATGTCTGCACCAAGAAATAGAGCTCCCTGGGTCGAGAACTTTGAAGAAGGCACCATCGTTACACAACCAAAGATAGGACTGATCTACAAAGACTACAAAGGCATCAAGCGAGTCCTACTCATGATCAAAATTCACAAGTATTGCGATGGTACACTGAGAATCATAGAAGACCATCTGGGAGAAGCTGCACTGAAGCTACAAAATTCTGAAGATCCAGATGACCCAGTACATATTGCTCTTGTTGCAGATTTTCACGAAGCCATAGGAGTTAGACTTGATTTCAGAAGTACCCTCAGACATTATGAAGTCATCCTAGGCTATCGGAAGTCATTGTACAAGACTCAGAGATAATCCGCGCTCCATCGACATTTGAATACAAAGGGGGAGAATGTTAGAATATTATTTTATTGTGTTCAAATTAATTGTAATTTAATTAATGAGTCTTTCTATTTTAATTAGATTAGCTGAGAGAGAATTAGGCTCATTTAATCTAGCTCTAATAAGCCCACACGCCTAAGCTGTTTGTTTCCTAATTAGAATAGGCAGTTCGGATATCTCTCCTATAAATATAGGTTGAGATGGACGAATCTGCTCTCTAAGTCTCTACACATTCTATTCTGCATATTATTTTTTGTAGAAGCAGTAGATTAGAATTCTCTCTCAAGCTTAATCGTTCGAGTACCATGTATTGTTCTTCATCGAATCATCATTATGAATACACGGTATAAGTTGATGTTGAATTTCTCTTCTACTGTTTAAATTCTTATCAATATTCTTAGATTATTCGACTGTTGTATCTGGGCATATCTCACACAGTAGTCGTGGCCTTCAGTCACTCTTCCTTTACTACTTTCACGCCTATTAACAAAATAAGCATTAATGCGGAAAAAGGAAACCTGGACCAAAGCGGTGATGAGCAAATATCTGGCATTTTTCATCACATTGTTGAAAACCTCAGTCAGATTAGAAGTGAGGGTACCGTATCTGTATCCGCCATCATGGTGTAATGACCACATTTCCAAGGCAACGTTCCCCAGAAATTGTCGCACCTCCACTCGCATTCCCCTATCTTCTTTAACCCACCATCAAACTTATTTTTCTGATATTGCCGTGCGGTCCAGACAAACAGATTTTTTAGGTGAGTGTCTTTGAAATGAGTGTGCACATTCGATGCAAGATGACGGATACATAGCCTATGGTGCGCATAAGGCTCCTCCCAAGTACTGTCCACCTCATTCATTGCCTTCACTATACCTGCATGTCGATCAGAAATGACACACAACTCCCTATCACTGACAAACTCCCTAATGCATGCCATAAACCATGGCCAACTCTCCCCATTCTCAGATTCAACAACTCCAAAGGCCACTGGAAATATTTGGTTGTTCCCATCACTACCCATAGCCACGAGCAATGTACCCTTGTAATTCCCATACAAGTGTGTGTCATCAATAGTAAGTACGGGTCGACGATGCTTAAAACCATGTATTGAAGGCTTGAATGCCCAAAATACTCTCTGAAATTGCATATAACCTGTTGGAGTAATAGGGGGTGGGTACCAGTGAACAACAGTTCCAGGATTGGAATGTTGGAGCGCTGTCATGAAATGGGGTAATTCAGAATATGACTTCTCCCAACCACCAAAAAAATTTGCAATGGCCTTCTGTTTGCCCATCCATGTTCTCCTGTATGATACCGTATACACATACTTTTCCTTAAGCATCTCAATGATAGTATGCACTTTAAGGGAAGGATCAGTGCTAAGAATGTCAATCACATCTTTAGCAATGAAATCAGAAGTCATCGCCACGTGATCAGTACTGTCGGTGTTGCCAACACATGTAGCAGAATGAGGTCCAGGATAACGCACAACTGTGAAGCTGTCGAGGTTGCCTTTGTTCTATATGGCGCATATTCTCCAAGGGCAATCACGTTCCTTCTTCCTCTTGCACTCTACAACCCATTTGTGTTTATCAGACTCCAGCACTCGATAAAATTGGTTCCGTTTAATAGAATACAAGCTCACCATATTGATGACTTGTTCTTTATTGTCAAACTGTTGACCAACCTCAAACTCACGTTCAGGTGTAAACCTTTTCATACCTGCTCCACTCATCCACACATCGGTAAAGCCTTCAGGGAGATCATACATTCTAGTAAAATGGCTAGACGGGGCAGTTGCCATGACAGTATCACCATCATCTTCATCAGACTATGTCATGTCATCACCGTTGATGTTATCGTCAGCATCATCACCACTTCCCTGCCCATCCACAAATGATGCACCATTGTGCAAATACATACCCTCTTCCTCTATAACCATGTCCAGTACATCACCATTTGAGGAGTTCCCTGCATTCACACCATGCCTAGATACAACAACATTTGATGTTGATGGAGCAATAGAAGAGTCGTCTATGGATTTCTCAATGTAAATCTCCAGCGAGGAGGACATACTCTCCATCTGAATTAGCGATCACATATTTGTGACAGCTAGCTCATCAACAAGTGGCATAAGCATGAAATTTCCCCCGTTGAGGGGAAATTTCATTTTCAATCACAAAGAACGGCTCAGAAGAATCATTGTAGCAACATGTATTTTTTAAAGCATCTCGAGCAAACATGCGTCACGAGAAACAATGACAAAGCTGCTTCTATCCCCAATGACACACGATTGGGAAGTTGGAGAAATTCATATTCTAATAACAATACATGTCAAACTTTCATGAGTACACATTAATATACACACTTTATACACCCAAATTAATCATTTCATACACATAAGAACATATTAAAAACTGTCATATTTAAGCAAATCTTGTAGGATAAGTATACACCTAACAATGCCAAAATATTACATTTAATTCAACATTAAAACTCAACATGTCATACATATCCACATTTCACAACAAATCAATTCACAAATCAATTCATAATCTAAAAATTCGAAATTTTTAGATTCTAAAAACCCTAACTTTAATATGAGAAGAAAATTGACTTTGATTTACCTAGAAGAAAGAGTATTGAAGAAGATGAATGTGGAGAGTTCTTGGCAAGGTGGCTTCGCCAGCGATGGAGGTTCGCTGGAGTTGGAGTGACTCTCGTCCGCTCGTCGTTCGTCCTTCGTCGCTGCAACTTTGGGGGATTTAGGGGTGTTGTGCAGTCTATCTAACAAAACCGACCCGTCTGGTTATTTAATAGGTAAGTCGTCAAACGGTTGGGCGACTTATAAGTCGACAAACTGGATGGCGACTTACCCCGACCGTGGGTAAACCCAGCAATAGATCGGTAAATACTTTTAACCCAACATTATTTTCGTAATTAATTAATTAATTAGCATTAATACGCTCCCTTAACTTTTAATATTTATAAACATACCTTGTATCGGTATCATTTTTTTGTCGTGTCTCTTACGCGTTTCCGTGTTTCTGCATCGGTGCTACATAGCTCAGGCGTAAATTGAGGCCTTGAGGGTGGATTCGCTCACTCCCCCTCTCACGTTTCTAGGGATGGACTCGGGTCCGGGCCGGGTCCGGGTCGGGCCTAAGCCCGGGTGGGCCGGCGGTTCAGAAATGGTGGACCCGGGACCAGTCCAGGTAACCACCGGGTCCGGTCCGAGTCCGAGCCGGGCCCATTATCATTTTTTTTTGTTTTCCTCTTCCTTTATAACCCCCCTCCCAACCCCAACCCCCCAAACCACCCCAAATGGCCCAAAATACCCAGCCCAACCCGAAAATTTAAAAAAAATTGAAAAAAAAATGGTTTTTGGCCTGAACTGGGCTCGAGCCCAGCCGGGTCGGGCCTTGTTTTGGGTGACCCGAGCCCGGACCGGAAAACCCACGGGCCGGGCCTACCCGGACCGGTCACTGACCGGGCCACCGGGTTGGGCCGGGCCGGAACAGTATTGGTCCCGGGCCGGTTCCAGGTCGGGCCGGCGGGTCAGAAATGGTGGACCCAGGACCAGCCCGGGTAACCACCGGGTCCGGTCCGGGCCCATTATATTTTTTTTTGTTTTCCTCTTCCTAATTAACCCCCTCCCACCCCCAACCCCCCAAACCACCCCAAATGGCCCAAAATACTCCATCCCATAATAATCTCCTAAGTCCGACGTATCACAATAACATAATGAACGGATGAGCGGATCATGTTCCATTTTAGAAGCGACCAAATAGATTAAAAAGTCGTACCATACAGGCAGACACTCTGATAGCAGTTCACAGTTTCACATGATTTTCATCTTGAACCATCAGATTGCAGTTCCAACTTCTAATTTTTCTGATGAATAAGCAATTATCTTGAATCAAATTAAAATCGGAATTGAAAACGATTTACCAGCATGGATTTAACGACACACCAATGAAACAAATGAGTCCGTGCACGTCTAAAATAACAACTTTAGCATGGATTCCATGGAAAGTGGAAACCCCCACAACAAAGATTTCAATATCTGAAGACATCAATATGTTACATATTTTGGACATAAAGCATATCTAATTAAAAAACATGCGTATAAAGAAGTATTAGAATTGTTTGGGTTACTATAAGGGGGGCGGAATAAATTGACAACCAAGTGGACAGTAATTACATTATATATTCTCGCATTTGATGGCCCGTGAACTCTCAATAATAATAATAATTTACTTCATAGTTTACCCGTGCCTTAGATTTTAAGACTCATCCATGAAGACAGCTCCGTGGCCGTTTGCTTTCATGAACTTCTTCAAAACAAGAACAATTATAGCAATGGTAAGTCCAACAGCTGCCCAAGTAAACATACGGTCATCAGCTTGCCTAGAGGATACTCTCACTTCAGGCTTGTGCAGTCGTGCATGCTGCACGTGATGGTGTGAAGAGGGAACAACCACTCTGGATGATGTCTGCACAGGATGTGCAACCAATGGGACTTCCTCCTGAGCCTCAACAATTCCATCCTCAGCAGACTCTGTGGTGTTCTGAGCCGTAATTTCCTGAGCATCACCATCTTCGTTTGTGGTCGGTTCTTCAGAGGGCAAGGCAGTAGGGGTCGTTTCTAGGGGAATCAGGGATGTCTTGCTCAGCATGTACTCGTGTATCTGCACAGAAGAGTAAATAAATATATAAATTGTATGCACTGGAGTAAGATGTGATAAGTTACTTGTGCAAGTGCAATGTTGTATAAAGCCAGCTAGGCGACTGCTAGAAGGCTTAATGATAAGTTTGGGAATTATTGCGGTTACGTAAGGCACTGACACTTGTTGATTTGAGGATTTCAGAGGAGGAAGGAAAGGGTATGGGATGGGTGAAACCAGTTTTACAAATTTAACAATAGTCCATATTTATAGGCATTTTTGTCAGAAAATCAGTACTGCACTACTGCCTCATCTCTAGAAAAGTCTAATTTCAAGAACTTCATGTCTCTTAAAAAGAAGTGTTTGGTATTAAAAGACAGCTCTAGTTTTTGACTTTTTTCACGTAAAATTCAATGTTAGGTGACACTGTTTAGTCCATTACTACAAACAAACGTGGAAATGAGCTTTAAGGGTATAGAAGTTCACTTATAGCATGCAAATTTTTGTTATTTGATTGAGTTAAGTATATATAAATAAAAACTTATACCTTGCTCAAACAAAGCTTGTTTTTTAATGGAGCGAGTATCTTCTTTGTGAAATCATGTACGAAGTATATCTCATCACGTTTGCCTTCTTTACAATCTACTACTCTTAAAATAAATTACTAAAACAATAAACGAAATTTTATTAATCCAAGACTTGAAAGATGAAATGTGTCAATATAGGGTCTGAGTGATTGAAAACGATCAAAGACCTAAAATATCATTGTTTTTGTTTTTTTTTGTTTTTTTTTTAATTAATCCCACTGCCAATTTTTTTGATGAATTATTCTTCACAAAAGTTTACTCATTTAATAAAGTTAAATAATACTTAAAAATATTAAAATTCATAATTTAGGTCTTAGATTGATAGTTTTCAACCATTCATGCCCTATATTTACACTGAATACACATTTATCTTTCAGGTCCCTTATTGATAGTTTATCTATCTTTGAGGCCCTGAATTAACAAAAGAGTTTTTTTTTTCAAAAATATTACTAATATAAAACTTATTTACACAAATATGACTAATAATTACTACAATGTAGTGTCATGGTAACTTAAGTCCAAAAATTGAACATAAGTTACTATGAGTCCATTACTACTTTAGTCACATTTTTGTAAACAATCTTTATTTTAGTCATAAATGTGTAATTATTTCTTAATAAAATTCCATAAGTGAATAACACCCATCCCTTTCCCTGACTTTCAATATCCCTAACAGCTATGTCGGGTTTGATCAGGATAGGTGGGAATTTGTACAACAATGGGGACAAAGAAGTATCAAACCTCATCTATTAGCTTCTGGCGCTCAGGGTTCCCAAACCTTGGAGAAGCCTCACGGGATTTAATCGCTAGAGTGCGTCTTTCCTCCTTTTTATAGTCCAATGACCCAAGAGCACCATTTGGGTTGGTTGGCATAAATGCAATCAGTGCAACCAATGCAGTCCGAACTGCAACACATGAACATGACAAATTAACAATAGTCAGGAACTGCTTCAGGGTTTCACTTCTGCACATAATTCCTACAGAGTTAAAATATCATACATGAGGTAACGACTGTACTTCATAATTTTTCTTTCACGCTCCTTTAGCCTCACACTGTCACAGTACGTATCATTTAAGGATAAAACACACTACCAAATAAGTTTATTAAACATCCTAAAAACCTTACGAGCACAAAAATGGTGGTGTTATACCTAAACTAGATTTAATAAATACCCCTTCTTGATTACTTCTGTTGAGGCGCAAAACAAGAGCAAATGTGGAAAATCAGGATCCGGTCTCTGATTTTATAAAATGATAAACATTTTGATACAAGTTCAATCAAATGACACTAGGGCTGTTTACTTTTGTTTTCTAGTAAGTCCTATATGGATTAAGATGTTTGTCTGCTTGTCTGGATTAAGTGATATTTGTATATGAATAAACATCAGAGGGGGGGGGGGGATGAAAGGTCAGCTTACCACTCTCAAGTCCCTAGCCCAACATATACTTTGTGGCATGTTTCATAAACTCATGATTGAATGTGAATAAATTAATAACATACTCACCACTCCATGATGGCTGCCAGTGCTCAGGATGATGATTTGAAATACTCAAACAAATCTTGGTTTGAGTCTCAAAGCGACCATTGGGCTGAAATGGCAACCAATTCTCATTAGTAAACAACTAAAGTATAGAAAAACTTATTTACGACAGACTCCATACTTTTGGCAAGCTAAAGTAGTCAAGGAAAATGAAATTACAGATCATAACATCCAAAATTGCAATCGAATTCGTACAGTTAAAAGCATGAAAGAAGGTGGCTTGAAAGGATATTCAGCAGGCAACTGTATCCGACCATGATATATTCCTCCTTCAAACTCCGAATCTCGGGGGCCCCTAATTGCAAACTGCCATTCGAATATATTCTCCTGAAAGGTATAAAAACTGGTGCTTTTAGTTTCCTTGCAATGATGAGAAAGTAGATTTACAATATACACATATTGTCAATGTATTTTTACAAACACTTTGGTTTTGACAATCACCCAACCATACCTTTTTGTATTTATAATTTCACTCATTACTTTTATGATGTTGGATTGTAGTAGGTGCTGTAGTGTTGGGTACAAATATCATTGTTGTACACAGATATAGCATACATGGCCTCCACAAAAGATTGCCTTTTTCTTGAGAACGCAGCTTTGACGGCAAACAAATTTACAACAGGTTAGGTGAAGCTTTTGGCCATATGAAAGCCATGGGAAGATTGAGATAGAAAACAGCATCCGGGCAGTAAATGAAAGCAACTTTTTTCAGTAAGAAATTTGCAAGCAGCTTCTTTAAGAAAGGGCAATCTTTGGTTATTGAAACATACGGAGTATTATTCAGTTATTCACTGAATCACAATTTCAAGCGGCTTGTTTCGGAAAAGATAAAACGCGGAAGGGAAACAGTGGACGCTATATCCACAAATAACAATCACTAGGAGCGTAATCAATATGACCACATAACCCGTATTATAATTTGATTTCATATCCTAAAAACGTGAGCATTTCATCCCTAAATCAAACTCAAACCTGAAGTAAGCAGTCTTCAATAAACTGCAAGCACGAATAGATACGATGTTTGCAATAAAAAGTTACCTCGAGAGGGAGGCTCATGAAATCATCGGAAGGATTAGACTGCATCTCTTTGACCTCCTGAAGGATCCTCTTCACGGCTGGGTTCTTCAGATTGTATTTGTCTTCCGCCATCCTTCGCCTACAGCTGATATGACTTCCGATCCGACCTAGGCCGATAATAGCTTCCGCGCTGACGAAATAATATGTTTCGTGCTCGGTAGACGATAGATGACGATCAGATAGCGCGGATTCTGAGAGGGTCGTCAATATGATTGACGCGTGATTACCAAGACGGGGAGCTCACGTGGCGAACAATGATTGGCTATGATGACAGAAAGTCCTCTTGTCCTTATGGATAAGTTGCTATGGTGGTCATCGTGTGAGATGGTCCACGCTATACCAACCGGTCATTTTGGGGGTTTAGAATTTTAGCTAATGAATGATTAGTTCAGTAACGGGCTTGATTTAATATAGCTAATGTTTTGCTATACTCGAATATTATCCGAAAGAATTCGGGTATGAAAATTAGGAATTGGAACAAGATCTATTGTACTATCTACGTAGTTTGAGTCGGTTTTTGATAGCTCGAACTAGGTTCAGATTGGAAAATGGCTGATTAAAGCATGAATGAGAAATCATCGCATTGTCCTTTAATATTTTAAAACATATTTTCAAATAAAATATCTCAATAATACAAATAACAAACAATAACACTAATAAACACTGATATTTCTAGTTCTTCTTAGTATTGTATTAGAGGCGCACATAAACAAATACTTCGTAATAGAGGATTTTCCAACGGATGTGAATTATTTGAGTGCATTATTTTTAATGAAGTAACGTACAAACTAACACTGAATGATATTGTAGAAATTATAAAATGAAACGTACCTAAATATGGGAGGAGGAGAATAGTCAAAACTAGGTGAGAGGATATGGGGTCATGGGATGATGGGAGTATGGGACTATGGGAGTGACATTTAGAGTCCATCAATGTGTAAATTGTATACATTGGGTCTCTTAAGCCATTTGTAATGGTAAGGTTTTAGGAGTTCAAAAGATTAAATGTGATACTTTTGGACTCCTAAATGCTTACATTGGGAGAGCCAGAAGCCTACTAAATGAGAAAGGTGGTGGAGTGTTTTTTTTTAAGAAAATAACTTAATTATTATTGATAAGGGTAACAAGGAACATAACAATCAAAAATCAAAGCATTACAATCATATTGTTCAATGCTACACTAATGTGACACAAAGAACAAAAATGTCATATAAAGGCACTCTCGTTCGCCGACTCTGCAACAGTGTAGACTCGTACCGCATTGTGACTGCTCATCTCGGAATGGGTCTGGTTTAAACATCCACTGAAAAGGAATTACTCCTCTGTCCTATTGGACTTTGCCAACTTTACTTTTTTTATTGTCCCAAAAAACTTTGACACTTTCCTATTAAGGAAACTAATTTGTGGTTCTGCACATTTCTCTCTCCTCTACACAAATCTCAACCACATAGATTTTACTATTCTTATTTCTCACCTACTTTGCACTTGGTAAAGTCCACCGGGACGGAGGTAGTATTTAACTTGCCGATTTTTTCAGCCACCGGTAAGGAGCCAAGTGCATAAATTGTTTTGGTTTCACTAGCCACCGGAAAGAAATCAATCATTCAATCTCATATTCCTGGATCAACGGTGGTTTAGGGGGGATCGACCTCTATATTGATACAGAAGAAATCATGATTCATCATTGATAAAGAAACCAATACAAACCTCTTACTACCACAAAAGAACACTCGACCGATGATGGCGGGAAATATACAACTGCGAGCGACACTTCACCACCGAAAATAACATATCTAGACAATGTTAGGAAATAAACGTAAATGTAGAACTGAAAATACTGATCAAATGACACATTTTTCATGATTGAAATCAAAGGAAGTGAACAAGCGAAGAAAAGAAGAAAAGAAGATGAGGAGGCGGCTAGAGTTTCCCCTTCGCTGCTCCTCTCTCTACAAATCGATTGATAATTGATCTTCTCTCCTGGATAGTGAAAATGTGGAGAGTGTTAGAAATAGAGGGAAGTTGACGGGAAGAGAAAAAAAGGAAAAAGATGTGTAAGGATGGGACGGTGGGTGGAGCAACAACTAGGTGGTGTATCTTTACAAGTTTGAAGTTTTATGTCTTATGACTTTTTTTATTTGCGTTCCAATATTTTCAAAAATCATATCAAAATTCATAACTTTTTATTATTTTTTATATTATTTTTTATGACACCACTACTACATTTATAAGTTTAGAAAAATAAGGATTTTTAATTGTTGGAGTTTTTTTAGGCAAAAAGAAACATGAAATACAAATTTTTAATCCATGGAGCTGAGTCTCAATAAATAACTGAATATTACATCAAATCATTTTATTTTTTATTAAAACTGAATAGAAGAAAAAAAAGTAACCAATTTTTTTAACGCCGAAATGTGTATCTTTTTAATTTCATAATTATTCTTTTTTAGAGGAAAAAATGAGTAATTATGAAAGAAAAAAGATACACATTTCGATGTTAAAAAATATTTTAGTTGATGTTTTAATAAATTGATATATAAAAAATACGATGAGTGTATTTTATTGATGGCGCAATGATGTAGATGGCCTTGGGTGAATGGCTCAACAAAGGAATGCATTTTGTTGATAATTGTTTGTTCACCTCTCTTTGAAGGGTGATGTTCACCCCTCCATTGTTTCTAGCAATGTCGCATGATATCGGAGGCGTAGCTCACCGGGTAGGAAGAGAGTGTCGCAAAGGAGAAGTATCTACTAGTTCAACTCCAAGCAAAGACTTGGAATAAAATTCATCTTCTTTCCATTATAAGTGTGTGACCAAAGCTTAATTTACACCCTTTCTAGTATCTTTTCGTCCTTTTTTACTCATGCGACATGCCAAATTCTTATTGAAATTATTATTATAATTTTGACTCCTTATATATATATATATATATATATATATCAATTTTTAATATTATTTTATGATTATGATATCAATATTGTATATAGAAATTTTGAAACAAAGTTTACTGTTTGTAAATATCAATATTGTATGCTGATGGATTATGGGATCAGGCCATAGACTAATCAGCCCAGGCCCATACATGGACCCGTGAATATAAGCTCACAACTTGAACCAGCAGACCCAAGTCTGAGTCCATTATATTACTAGGACAACCCTACCAGTGGGCCGAATGTCCAAAGAGCTCAATCCAGCCCAACCGATTAGGCCCATCAAGCAAAGGAAGCCAACTGGAGAGGAAGTCTAGTCGGGAACCTACCTCCCAGTCCAACAAGGAGTCTGCCTTCCCGCCCAAGCGGGGGTCTGCCTTCCAGTCCAGCGGGAGCCTGCCTTCTGCCCAACAGGGAGCCTGCATATCAGCCCAAGCTGGGAGCCTGTCTTCTAGTCTTGTAGGGAGCATGCACACCAACCCAACCAGAAATTTGTCCCTCGCCTAGTCGGAAGTCTCCTTTTAGTTCAACATGAAAAGGAGCTCAAGCGTTAGACCTGCCAGCCAGGCCGACCCGTCAGCCGGGAAAAGCAACAACTAGACATGAACGTGTAAATTAATTATCAATTTAAATTTGTATTAATGTTGTAATTGATTAGCCGTCATTGTTCATGGCAGTTACCATTTGTAAATGCCCTAAAAGGCAAATCTAATTCAAATGATAGACATGTTATTCTTGGCAACCAAACTCCTTAACAACTTTCCATTTGCACACTTTCTTAATTCTTGCTTGAGTGTTCAGTCGTAGTTTTTTAAAAGTATACGAGCGTCCACTTTTGGACCAACATCATCCATAAATTTCAAGAGGTACATATCAACATCGCAATCACTACCAATGATCTTGTTATGTTACAAAACCATCAAAAATTCTCTTGAAGATAGACTCAAGTTATATAACTTGATTATTGTCTAGATAATCATGTCATTTTTCAATGAAAAATTTAAGTCGAGATGGATGTAGTATTTGATAAAGCTGATAAGCTGAAAATAAGGCTAGCTTACGAACTCATATGTTCCGGAATGTCTAGTTTCACAAATTCCGATCAACTAGATTTTAGTGTGTGTTTTTATTTAAGTATCCAAACAATTATAGATTTATTTTGGGAAATTTTCTGAAATAGGCTAAAAACGTTTTTAGTCTCCAAATATGAGTATTGCTGTCAAGATTGAAAAATACTGACATGTTTAAATTAAAGTCTCATAATGTCAAAGAATGACAGTAATTACTCTCATTTATAAAATAAAAAAATGAAAGTTCTATTTCAAAACTTGCAATCGTTTTTACTCCTATTTAGGATAAATTCTTATTTATTTTTTGCAATTTAACAAATTTTCGATTTTAGTTTAAATACACAATTGTTAGTTACTAGGGGTGTAAACGAGCCGAGCCGAGTCCGAGCATGGGTAGGCTTGAGCTTGAGCTTGATAAGAATTCATGAGTTCGAGCTCGATCCGAGCTTGGACGAGTTAAAATAATTCGGGCTCGAACTCGAGCCAAGCTCGGCTTGAGCTCAATTCGATCTCCGTTCGAGATTGGGTCAAGTTTCACTAATTAATTTTTATAGGTTTGAACTCGAATACGATGAGCGAACTCGGACTACAAATATAATATGTGTTTCTCATTTTTAGTTTATCTTTCCTTTACTGACATTTTTATTCTTTAGTTTAGTGTTAATAAATATTACAAGCAAATATTATAATTATTACATATTATGGTTATAATAATAATAATGCGTACATGTTATTGTTTTGTAATTATTACTATTATATTATACTTCGTGAAAAGGATTGAAATGGAACAGTCTTAAATTAGAATATATATTCTAAAAAAGTACATATATAATTATTACATACTACATATTACATATATAATTATATATAAAACATACTCGTACTACATATAAAATATGACACAAAGGCTCGCGAGCCACGAGCCTAAAATGAATAGGCTTGAAATGAGCTTGTTAACTATTTGAGTCGAGCCGAACTCGAGTCGAGCTTAATATGACCAAACTCGAGTCGAGCTTTTCCCGAGCGATCCACGAGCAGCTCGCGAGCGATTTGACTCATTTACACCCCTATTAGTTACTAAAATGAACTCATTAGTCATCTATTAAAAATGATGTGATCAATTTAGAACGATTTAGGGGGTGTTTGGAACTGATTCTGCTTCTGCTTCTTTTTTAAAGCAGAAACAGAATCAGTTTTCAGAAGCTGATCACCCCCAGCTTCTAAAAAAACTGATTCTAGGAGTAAATTAGAGCACAAGAATCACTTCTTCACTTTCACCCAAACACTCCAATTTCTGCTTCTTCTCCCTGAATGAGCAAAAGCAGTCTTAAGAATTATATCCAAACACCCCCTTAATTTAGGTCATATAGAAAGAATTCAATCTATCTCAAGAAAATTTGATGTGTAATGTCTGTTAGCATGTTGCTAATTTCATTATCTTTTTATCCACTTTCAAAAATCCCACTATCCCCCAAAGTCTATCTTCCCTTCCGCTCTTCCACCACCTCTAGTCGCTTTGACGGCAGAAGAGTCTTTATCCTCGCACACGAGGCTGCAGTGGAAGAAGAAAGCGAGCTCAAATGGCTTCAATCGCTCAGCAAATTGGAGTGCTAAAATGCCCATTGATCTCGAGCTCAAAGATTGGTGGATCCTCCGAGAAATTTGTTCACAGCCACTTCTACACAAAGCGCCTAAGAGGAACCTGCCAAGCGGCGGCGGTGTTGAGCAAAGCACAGACAATTGAGAGACATAAGCTTAAAGAGATGTTTGAAGAAGCATACGAGCGGTGCCGTACCACTCCCATGAAAGGCGTCTCGTTCACTCTCGAAGACTTCAACTCTTCTCTTGATAAGCACGATTTCGAGTCCGAAATCGGCAATAAGGTCAGTTCTTACTGAGTGTCTACAATTTCACTCTACTCAAACGTTTCGGTTGATAATTGAAACTGAACTTTGCTAAACTCTCGGAATTAGACAAGTAATAAGTAGTAGACTAGTAGGCAACGTGAAAGGTGAAACTGATAAACCTCAAAGTTAAAGAGGCAAACCAGTTGTAATAAAAAGGCTTGTCTCCTTCAGGTTTAGTAAAAGCTTTTAAAACTCGCCCTTAATAGCTGCCCTTGAGAGTTTCCTGGCATCAGGTGGCTCCTGGAATGTCTGCCGTGGCACCACTAATGATGTAAAGAGTAGTTAATATTTTCATTTAAATCCACTCATTTCAGGGGGATTGTGTGTTAAATCGTTCATTCATGTGAGCTTCATATGGTGATATGGTATATAACTGAGGTTTAGCCCAGAGGCCTGCATTTTCAGTAAACCATTTCTAACCATATACTGTAATATTTTGGATGCTGGTTTTGAAGAGGAAAAGATATGCTGGTGGTGTTTCTTAAGTTATATTAATGGGGCAAGTTCTTGTTTTCCTGAAAAAGTGCTATACTTGGCATTAATTATTGGGAGTAGAAGCATATGAGGGCTTAAATGATAATCTGTTTGCTTTTAAAATGGATACTGAGTTAGAACGCCCATCTCATTAAAGCTGAAGGATTGCTTTGAATTGAGTTTTTAGGGAATGGATAATAATAAGAGTTAGTAATGAACTGGTTGTGAAGTTGAAACGTAGAGTGATAATATTTCTCAACGCAAACTTCCAAAGCAAGCTCTTATTTTTCTATCATAACTTATATACACAGTATTGTTTAATGTTGATTTACTTTACATGGCGGGATAGGTAAAAGGCACAGTATATAGTGTAGATTCACATGGAGCTTTCGTTGATATCACTTCCAAGGCCTCAGCACTCTTGCCACTTAGGGAGGCATCTATTCACAATATTAAAAAAGCAGAAGAGGCTGGCATTGTTCCAGGTCTACAGGAAGAATTTGTGATTATTGGTGAAAATAGCGCTGATGATAGTTTAATATTGAGCTTGCGTTCTATCCAATATGACCTTGCCTGGGAACGATGTAGGCAGCTTCAAGCTGAAGATATTACTGTCAAGGGAAAGGTGTGAAAATGAAATATTATTCCAGCTGTTCTGTATTGGCAGTTTTTTTTACATTCCAGAAACTGGTATTAGTCATGATGTTTCACACTTTTGAGTTTGTAGGTCATTGGTGCAAATAGAGGTGGGGTCATGGCATTGGTTGAGGGACTTCGTGCATTTGTTCCATTTTCACAGATCTCAACTGTTAGTTACATATTCTATCTCATGATATCTCTTCTTCTATCATAACGTGACATCTTTTTCTAGACTAACAAATATCTAGGGACTGCTTGGTAGCTAATCTATGGTTTATCAGCCAGATTTTATTTGACTGCACATACTAAATTTTTGGCTGGATGTACTTTTTAGCTGAAGTTGTTGAAGATTATAATTTTTGACTCCTTTTGTCCCGTAAAATTTCCTTTTATGAATGTACCAAAGATATGAACACTTTCTTAATTTAAACCCTACTAAGTTTTTATTTTCCGGTTTTATCCCTTTTCTATTATTTCACCTTTACCTTTTTGTGCAGCCTTACTGCCTTTTCTTACTCTTGAAATGGTACATTTGTAAAATAGCTGTCATCTATTTCCTTAATGCTCGTGTCAAACAAATACATCTTATATTTTAGGACAGAGGGAGTAGCATTTTTTCATTCATGTTATCAATATAATGTAATTTAGAGCTATTTTCAAAACTCAACAATTTCAGCAAGTTAATCCGTAATTCTTCATTTGCTATGCATTTGGAATGTACGGTTTTCGAAGAAGTGACTGTTAGTAAAATTATTATGGAATGAGTAAATGAATGAATCAGAAATCAACAGCAGAGGAGCTTTTGGAGAAGGAGCTTCCTCTAAAGTTTGTGGAAGTTGATGAAGAGGAGTCTAGACTTATTCTCAGTAACCGCAAGGCAATGGCTGATAGCCAGTCACAGTTGGGAATTGGGTCAGTTGTGGTGGGGACAGTTCAGAGCTTGAAGCCATATGGTGCTTTCATTGATATAGGAGGGATTAATGGACTTCTACATGTTAGCCAGATCAGTCATGATCGGGTCGCAGATATTGAAACGGTCCTTCAACCAGGGGACACTTTAAAGGTGGTTTGGATAACACTCTACTTTGTGGCAAATCATATTCAACTTTTAATAACTGTTACAAACTTACTATATATTACATTTTTTCGCCTATCAGGTCATGATATTGAGCCACGATCGAGACAGAGGTCGTGTGAGTCTTTCTACAAAGAAGCTGGAGCCTACACCTGGTGACATGATTCGTAATCCTACACTTGTCTTTGAGAAGGTAAGTCACTCAAATTGTTTTGAATTTCTCTTGTTCTCATATCAAGATATAGAGCCTGTTTGGGTAGGCTTCATTATTGGTTTATCAGCCATTTCTTTACCAACCACTAACTCATCTCACTGTGTAGGCGGAATATGTGGACAATAAAATTAAGTAGTGCAAAAGTTACCCTATTTTGGTTGAAAATGACAGTCATTGTTTACTTTTCCAAATTATCAGCTTTAATTTATTTAAATATATATTTTAGGGATTGACCAAACTCGGTCAATCCAGAACGATATAGATGGCCGGATCATGCAAAAAATTGTTCAAGGGTGCATATTTTCCGCTCCTTTATTTGGATAACTTCTTTGTAGATAATTCGGCAAATTTAATAACAAATTCAGCAACTTTGCCGACAAAATCTGCAAATGTAGCACAACTAGCCATTTTAAATCTTACCAAATGGGGTCATATATTATTGTGGAGAGTTCAGGAGAAGTAATAACTAGGTGTCATATTAAACCTTATCATGTCTGCTTGACTTATGCCATGAGATGTCAGGAGAAATAAGTAATAACCAGAATTGGTGCGGTGTTGCCATCAACACATTTTGCACTAACAGATTACCCTTTATTTGTTGTGAAGGCTGAGGAGATGGCACAAACATTCAGGCAAAGAATTGCTCAGGCAGAAGCAATGGCTCGTGCAGATATGCTGAGGTTCCAACCCGAGGTAATCATCGGAATGACTGACTTCATTCCTGACTGTCAAGTCAAGCAAGTTTACTGATGATGGTGTCATTGCAGAGTGGATTGATTTAATTCCTGACTTCATTCCTGACTTCATTTCTAACCTAACCATATTTTATGATTTAATTGTTTTTTGTAACCATGCAGAGTGGATTGACTCTGAGCCCTGATGGGATTTTAGGTCCACTGAGTTCTGACTTGCCTGTAGATGGATTGGATCTGAGCGACATTCCACCTGCCGAATTTGATTTCAATGAAGTCCCCCCCGCTGAAGATTGATTGTTGTGAACATCTCAATTGTTTTTGTCGTCATTTTCCCCCAGAACTCTTTTGTGGACAGGTAGTGTAAGCAACACTTTGGATGAAAATGCCCTGTATGATATAGTGAAAATTACTGTTCAAATTTGTACAATTATCTTATATCCAGGTTCTTTCCATTATTCTATATATGTACAGTATATTGTTCTAAATGGTTTTGGTTTCCCACTATGTTTTAGTTTCCGATTGTTTGGTAAACCGAATCACAATCATGCGCAAAACTGAAATCAGATAATCAGATCCTTTTGGGTGTGACGCCAAAAGTTTGTTTCATTCCTAATTTTTAAACTATTAAAAACTCCAAGAAATAACAACAATATACTTCCTTCCGTGCTTATTCTATTGCTGGGTGTGTATTTGTTCCCTCGCGGCAAATAGCTCACAGAAATGTGTTAGAATCTTTTTCTTTGGACTTCTTCCTGATTGTTATCCATCTGCTCTTCTGTAACCGTTTTGTATATTATGGATGCTAAATAAAGTAAACTAACAATGAAAATCTAGTAATTTAAGCAATTAATAGTAACTAAGATAGATAAAACAGGGCATTGGTGCCGCATTGAGCAAACTAGCATTGTTTCATGTAGGCATTGGAACCCTCCCTCTAGGCTTCCCATCTGATGAAGAAAAATGCTCACATGGATATTGAAAGAAATTGTTGTTTTTTTCATTCCTACCAGGAATGTACTGGTCATCTGACCATCTCTTCGTCAAGTGTCCTATTACTGGTACTATTAGGGGGGAAATCTGCAAATGGTTAGGAGTTAAAAGATCATTATCCACCCTTGCTAATGCAGTTAAATGACTCAAGAAGGAGTTTGTAGGAGCCTGGTTAAAAAGTAAAGCTGTAAAACATGATTCTGCTGTTCAGTCTACACTATTGGGAAGTCGATGAATTCTGCAATCTTTGCAAACGGTTTACCTAACTCATGTGATATGATAATGTAGGTTAAAGATATGGTCTATAAAGTTTTGTATAGGCACTATCTAGTGAACTTGATAGATCATCTCTTTATTGTGATTAGCTTATAAAATTAGTATAGTTGATTTCTTTGTACTGTTGGTGACATATGGGTATGCTCCTTGTAATAGGACCTTTTTAGCTCTTTAATAGAGTTTACACTTTTATCCAAAAATATATTATAATTACTACCTCCGGTACACTAACATTGGGACAAGAGGTGACATGGTTATTAAGAAAATTGAGTTTATGTGGATGATTTGAATTGATAAAGTAAGAATAAAGTAAGAATGATTTAGAGGCATATATACTTTATCAAAATTGGTATGAGATAATTTTAGTAGGATTTTCTAAAAACATAAAAATGCGACAATCTTAGCGGGACGGAGAGTATTTTATATACACTCCGGTTACACTTTATATATCACTTCATAGACAAGATTGTCAGACACAATTTTATCAATGAGATTAATTTACCATTACAATGATAGAGGCCATTGATTACTTTTGCATACATGCACATTAAACTTGAGAGGAATATGTGTTATAGTGGAAAAATATCGATGTGAAGGTGGTATAAAAGCTGGTGTAAACAAATTAAATGACAGATTTAAGGAGTATGGACAAACATTTTTATAAAATATTTTCGTGCAAACAAGTCTGGATAGTACTCTCTTTGTAGACCCAAAACATTTTTCTCATTTCACTTTTTGGAATATACAAAATTCTTCTCATTTTTAAAGAAGGGGCTATTCTCATTTTTCTCATTTATTTTCGTGCAAATCTCAATTTCAATTGTTCTTTTTCTACACAAATCTCAATCTCATAATTTTCACTACGTGAAAAACATACAACAAGGAATCGTGAAAAAAAAAAAGGATTGAATGAGTAAATTACCTTTTCAAAATCATATGTACTAGAGTTGTAGATATCGACTTTTTGTTCAAGTTTGATTGATCCACACACCCTCAATTCATGTAAAACAAAACAATGTACTATTACCTCCGTCCCTCTAATATTGGGACGCAAGAGAGTAGTGCAGTTTTTAAGAAAAGTAGAATTATGTGGTCAAAAATGTTTGAGGAACATAAAGTGTACACAAAGTGTACACATTATATATATCTTTTTCTTTCTTTTAACCATCCACTTTTACTTTACACCCATTTTACTTTCTCCTATCACTTCCATCTCTCTCATTCTCTTCTCTAAGACCATGGTTCCCTTCTTTCTCATTTCTTTCTTTTTCATTTTCAAGCTCTCTAAATTATAACCATTTTCAATCCTTCTCCCCATTTAATTTTCATACAAGATTCATTTGTCTCCATTGTTGATGATTCTTCTCAAACCATGAGGTAATATCTTTTGGGGTTATGCCCTTAATATTAGTAAATTGAACTGATTTTCCAAAAATGTGAATCCTTTTAAAATTGACAAAAAAGTGATTAACAAGGTCATATATTTGGAATAAGAAAATATTATGTAACTGTAAAACAGTTATGACACTGTGTTCGTTTTTTCTTGTCACTTAGAGTTGTCACTGTCAAATTTTTCACGCCAATTGCACCCGCCACCACCACCACACTGACATCATCAAAGTGACGTCGCCACAGTGACACTGCCACACTGATACCTCCGCAATGACATCTCCACCGTCATCACCCGTGTCACTGCCACCACTGCTGCCGCCGGTCATCGCCGCCCATCATAGTGACGCTGTTGCGGTCACTGTGACACCGTTGTGGTCACTGTGACACCGTTGCCGGCCACAGTGACAACGTCACAGTGACGTCGCCACTGCCCAATGACACAAATTTTCGATGACGCCGTGCACCGGAAGTTTCTCTGGCCGCTGTGGCCTCGTCAATGTGACCGTCGGAAATTTCTGGCTCCTTTTTCCGGCGTCCTTACACCAACAACAACATTGTGGTTGTCCCGCTACCTAGTGCGAGTCGCCGTCGCAAATGAAACTGTAGCCGCCGCAGATCTGATAACTAGGTGAAGGCGTCATCAAAGCTTCTCCCGTCGTCCATGGAATCGCCGACCGAGCTTCGTCCGTGGTTGAGTCGCTGGAGCACCAAGACAAAGAAGAGCAACGACGTTTCAGGCGCGGGAGACGGCTTGAATCGGCGAGCTTATGTAGGACGTTGATGTTGAAGCTCTGAATGGTGTCATTGTTGCGCGCACAGGAGATGATCGGAGAAGAACGGGAAGGATGGTTTAGCTTGGATGCTCATGGATCTGGATATGGTCTCTTTTTTGTCAAATTGGAAACGTGTCTTATTTTTGTACACCGAGAGGTCCACGGTCATAGTTTAGTCTTTATTTCATATCTTTTTTCATTTTTTTATGTATATTGTGTATGTTATAACCTTGAATAATTGATTAATAAATTTTATTGTAAGAGATATGGAGTGTTAAATGTTGACCTTTTAGGATAATATTTCTAGTTCATTTATGCCCATAACATGTTTGTTAAAATGACTCAATGAACTTTTTGTTAAAATTCATGTTTTGTTCTCATTTTTGCTGATGTATATTAGCGTTTAATGAGTTTTAGACTCCGATTTTACGATTTCTGTTTTCCTATGATACACTACATAGTAATTGTTGATTAACTATTCTTTGATTATTATAAGTTTGGTGGATGTTCTTTTATTTTGGGACTATATTTGTTTCTATTTTTTCAGATTTTATGTATGTTACTATGGTGTTCAATGTTTGACTATTTGGCTTCATTGTTAAGGATTGGTGATGTTTATTATTCAAATTTCAATCAATTAGTTAATTTGATTTTCTTTGAATTTACTTAACCACAGGGCTTTGTGGGGGAAAAATAAAAGGCACGTTGATGATTGAGATGGCTTATTGGTCTAACATATGGTGGTTTCAAAATGGGGGAGAGCCTCAAGTCTTAGGGAATGAGCATCAGACACTCACCGATATATGAGTCTCTTCATAGTTAAACTTGCTTTGAGTCCCCTCATCCAAGATGACTCTCTTTCTTCATATATTTGGACAAAGCATGACATAAAACAAAACATGGCAACATTAAAGAATTTGGAAGTGAAGAATGAGAGCATCAAACCAAAGGACCACAAAAGATTTACGTTTATAATGACTTATATTGTAAAGCTATATTTTTAAATTAATTTGTAAGTTAGTGGAAAAGATATGTTTTACTCTCATTATGATACATTGCTATAGTTAATTTGTATTCATTATAATTACTGGTTTAATAGAAAATGGATGTAAATCATGAATGTGTAAATTACTTTGCAAAATAGTTAAAAGACAATACATGGTCTCGGTTGGCAGTTTCACTTTGAATTTTCTCATACACAAGTTATGTTAATAGGCTTTTATGAAATTAACTTGCGGATTAACTTATTTCAGTGGCAATTGTTTGTAACCTGACATTTCATGTCCCGTTTACAGACAATTTCAATAGTACATTTGTCCATTTCATTGGCTATTGCCTGTGGCCGGACATTTCACATCTGGTTCACAAACAATTCTACTTAGCACATTAGTCTATTTTGGTGGCTATTGTCTGTGGCCATATACTTCATATCAGTTTCATAGACACTTTCACTTAGGACATTAGTCCGTTCAAGTGGCCATTGTCTGTAACCAGACAGTTCATGTCTGACTCACAGACAATTCCACTAAACACATTAGTCCATTAGCCTATTTCATTATGTTTGATTATATGTTGTTTGACTATATATTCATTGTATTATGAGTTACATCTCTATCTAAATACAATGAAGCCAAATAGTCAAACATTGAACACCATAGTAACAAACATAAATCTGAAAAATTAGAAACAAATATAGCCCAAAAGAAAAACCATCTACCAAACTCATAATAATCAAAGAATATTTAATCAAAAATTACCACAGTATATCATAGTAAAACGACAAACTGAAAAAAGAGAGTAAACCAAAATAGCAGCCTTAACCAATATGCATGATGAATATGTCAATAAATAAATTCAATGTCTGTTTACACACAGTAAAAAACACTCCATAGTCTCAACTGTAATAAATTCAATAAATAAAGTTTTCTTCTCTTCCAACTTGCTCAAGTGTACTTTAGCAGCTACAATCTATCCATAGTCTATTATCCCACTACTCTCAATCTCTACAACATCTGAACATCCTTAATCTCAGATTCCATCAGCTCTGCTCTAATTCTCCTTTAATCATCTTGTAATCCATCAATGATAAAGTTCTGCTAGTATCTGTGTCAATCAGT